TATTTATAGCTCGAATCTGGCTGTAATGGTGGTCACATACATCCCCTGGGAGTTGGGAATGCTCCAGTGTGTAACACCTTGATTTTGCTATTATGTACCTGTGTGCACCTAAGGCAGGTGTAGGTAAGTGACAAACAGTTTCGGTGCATGAGTGGTTGCCACGAAGTCAGGGCATTAGTCTCCCTGCGTAACGGAATGAGTACCATGTCTATTTTGCCTATATTATAGAGTTCAAAAATGGAACACCTCAGCCAGAATTCTTGGGCTGTTCTGGTACCTGCTAGGCTTTTTGGGATTTAGTTTAGAGTCCCATGGACCCTGGTTTGCCACAGAGACCTGCAGTGGCGAACCAGAATGTTTTCACACTATGCCAGCCTATATCCTGGTCAGCCACTGCGCGAATGTGGTGGTGAACATGGGGCCAGGTTCACGTTGGGTCTACAAAAATATCTGAAAGAACTCGTGGATGCAAGGCATGCGCCGTTGTATAAGGGCGGGGTATTCGATAGATATGAAAGAAAATGTTTTCGCTGTCAAGACAGTTATTGTGCAAATGCGACGGATAGGGCTGCTGCTGCCAGGCCCAACCCACACAACAGCTTGGTGGTCCAGGGTTGAGTGAAATCAAGCATTGGGAAAATGGTGCTTGGAGGTACCAGGGATAACTCCGGCCTGTTCACACATATTTCTGGCAGGGGCGTAATTAGTTCAAGGATGCACTTTCTGCGAGTACGATTCATCTGAGTGATGTATTAGCTGTTATTAAACAAGACTCTTCTTTCTTCACATGTGTTGGACAACATTCATCGCTCGTTCTGTTCCATCTGCGCTTTCCTGCATCTTGGGGCCCTTTCCTGCCTCTGATTGGGAACCGGCCACATTGTACACTTGGGCGAGGTTGGGCCTGGGCGCACTGGATGTCTGGGTAGGTCCTTTTTCTTCTCTGTCGGAGGCAATTGTACCTGCTTCACGCTGGAAAATTGTGCCTCTCCCTTCCCCTTGTTTCTGTCTTTTGCGACAGCCTTTGCTACGATTATTGGCTGGTCTCCTGCCTTCTACACGTGGGCTTTTCTACCTGCCTGTATATCGAGGACTGAGTCAAGGGAAGGCCTGCAGAGAGAGAGCACTGGTGGGATGGAGGTGCTGCGGAGGGAGAGGGAGGGTCTCTGCCAGGATGGTGTTCGGTATCCCTGTTGGCGCTGGTGGGGCGGAGAAAGGGGAGGTCTGAACATTCTCACACTTTTCTCCTGGATGTGTGGACCATGAGCCCATACTCTGGCCTTCCTGCTAGAGGACTGCTATGATTGGAATCCAGGAATGGTGCTATTGTCTCCCTGTGCTAGAGGACTCTCCCTTTGACTGACTGGGGTATTGCAGCTGTTACCTTTTTGATGGTTCTCTTTGAGTGATCACGCAATATCAGATCAGGGGTGAGTTAGTCTCTCCTTCTCAGTGATTCTCCCTTTCAGTGGTTAGGCTTCTTCAGGAATCAGTTTGCCGCTTAGTCTCTGCTGATGGCCAGGGGTAGAGTAGGGATCCCGGTTGTCCTCCAAGAGAGGGGTAGTGGTGTTGGGGGGTGCAGTTTGTGGCTGGTATTGGAGGAGATGGTGTTGGTGCTGGAGCTCTTTGTGTAGGTGCGTTCTTTCTGTCTGTTTGTGGGTGGGCAAGGGGAATTAATGTTGCATATCGGGTGGCAGTCCTCCGTATTCTGGTACAAGGGGAATCTTTGCCTTTTGCACAATCAGGAAGCTTTACTTTGTGTTCATCTTAAGCTGCGTCATCGGCTACATCTTTGGTTGCCGGGTGGGCTCATAGGTGTTCTGTGGAATTGTATGTGTGGCTTGCTGGATTCTGCTTTTGATTTTTTAAAAATATTTAAGTTATTTATTTTTTAAGTAAACACCATCATGAGCAAACTACCATCCATAAGGTGGTAAGAGTGAGTACCTTCCAGATTGTAGCCCGTCACTTCCGATGGCTCCAGTGTAATTTGTGGGGATATGTGCCTGCTGGAAACTGGGTCCAGCATCCATTTACAAATAAAAATAACAGTTCCGTATGCTGGAGTACCCGAACTAAGACCTCTTCACCCTTCCGGGCATCTGATGTGACTTCTCACGCGCTCAAGTCTCTCCTCATGGCCCAGCCAAGTCTTGCCTGTGTCGTTTTGTATTTACTGAATTATAACCCTACCGTTGTCTGTTCAATGTCGCTTCAATTCCTACTCCAGAACCTTCTGTACCCTAGGCTCCCTTCCTCCCTTGCCTACTACATGAACGTTTCATGGTGGCCCCGTCCGCAACTCCCCCCACCTTCCCAATTGACCCCCATCTCCACCTAGTCTATTGAGGCTGGGGAAGGCTGGGGAAGGCTGGGGAACAGATTGTGGCTGTGCTACGGAAGGCTGGGGAACGGGTACACGGGGTGTCAATAGCAACCTGAGCCTTTAGAGGAGAGGTTGAGGGCCGATCCAAATAGAACCCATCTCCTCTCCATTGAGATACAAGTGCTCTAACCAACTGAGCGACCAAGTAGCAATTGCTCTAACCGACTGAGCTACCACCTACCTCCTTACCAGCAGGTAGTCTCGATGGTGAGGCACCAAACATGCCACAGGCACCGATGTGGGGAACCCACGACGTCCCGAGTACAGCTTGTGTGTCTTACCAACTGAGCTAGGACAGCTGCTACTAGGGCAACGTGGAATAATGAAAGGATAGTGGAACCTTTCACGTTTGTTGTCGACCCTACCGTAGTGGTGTCTGGCGAGTCCTATGTTATGGCATCTTGCCGAGAATGGCAGTGTTGTAATATGCATCAGCTGACCTTTCTGTCGATTTGGTACCCGTTGCTCGGGACTACCGGGTCATATCGGTATCACCTTGCGCTATCTCGGCTTGAGGAATGGGAGCAGGTGGTGAGTAATTGTTGACTGTGGGGAGGTACGGGTTTCACGTCGATTTGGGGCCTCGCTCCACTACTTGCCGAACGTGCAAAATGAGAAAGAATCCTCTGCAAGAACGTGGAAAGATACACGTTGACTGCCTTTTTTTTTGGATGTGGTGAGTAGTGGAGCGAGGCCCTCGGTATTCTTGTTCTGATTCCGACCCTGTGCAGTCTCTCTCTCTCTCTCTCACTCACTCTCTCTCTCCCCTTGTTCTGTGTTTTGCTTTGTCTTAGAGATCTCTCCCCTCCTCTTCTAGATTGTTCTTTGTGCTTACGACTCTCTCCAATGGCAGCTCCGTGCACTTTGCCTTCCGTGTCGTATTGCGTTCTTCTTGCTTTTTGACTCGATGGATTCTGTAGTCCAGCGGGAAGCCCTACAGTAGTCGTCGAACGGCACTTGTAAGAAGCTGGCCAAGGTTGTCTTTTCCCTGAACAGATTTTCTTGCGTGTTGTTGCACTCCTCCCCGTCCTTTCATTTCCCCCATCACTCCTCCGCTACTTCCACACTTTCGGTTCATCTTTTTCCGTTCTTTTTTTCTTGCCATCCGTCCCTCCTGCAAGGAATATGAGCGGGAGCGATAGACAGAAATCCAAATTGCAAAATCACGAACCAGCCCAGATAGTGATGTACCAAGCAGAGAGCACAAAGCACCAAGATACCATCCACATAAGAGCAATACAATGAACTCGTATGTCAATGCCGACACTCTCTGGCCACACCAGCACAGTATCCAATGTAGCTCCTACTGATTGGCGCCCAGACCCAGCCTACACTACTCAGCCTATCTACACCTATCTACGTTCATGTAACCAGATCACATAGAAGTTGAAGACCAATGTACGTGACGTCATCACCAATGCAGACCGCCAGCATACACCAGGTGTGTTCTCTCTCCTCCCCTCGTCACACCTTGTCTTCCCTTTGCATGTGCCTCCTACCCGAAGACCGCCATCGCCATCACTTGCCACCGCACGCGCAGCCTGGCTATGGCCGCCGTGGCCTGCTGCCACCGCAGCGCACTCTCACCTCTAGTGCCCACGTGCACCCCAGCCTGCCTGCTTAGCGCAGCATCGCAAAGCCTGCACAAGCCAGAATGTCGTGCCCCTGGCTTTCACTTTCCTATATGGAAAGTGTGCCCTCGCCGCTGGCTGTCCTGGGCCTGGCGTGTAGGGGCCCAGTAGGTTTGAGTTGGCGCCAAAGTGTCTGCACCCAGGCCCAGTTTCAGATACTGGCCTGGGCCTCGTGCAGTTAGGCACGTCCGGGTAGCCCTCCAGGCTCCAAGTGTTTGCCGCATTCTCATTGGCTCGTGGTGGGTGTGCGGCGACAATGCTGCATTCTCATTGTTTTGCAGCCACTGCCTGATGTGTCGACCTCCCACTGCGTGTGCCCAGGGTGCAACCGCCTGAACCCTGGGCTCAACTGTACAGCGCAGCTGTTGCTTCTGGAAGGAGCCACAGAAGGATCATGTTGCTCTGTAACCAACTGGCGTGCTGCAACTGTCTGATACCCCACATACGAGAAATGTTGAAAATAGGCCTCTTGAGGATGTACAGGCCCACCTTCACTTAGGGCGGGCACAAGGTTTGCTGGGGGCCGCTGCCCAGAACATCTGCATGCCCAAGAAGGACCTTGTGAGGGCTCATTCCTCGCACTCCAATCAATTTGTGTGGGGACAGCAATTCGCAACCAAGAACATAAAACGAGAAACGGGGGAGCGATAGCACGCATGTGTGTGTGTGTGTGTGTGTGTGTGTGTGTGTGTGTGTGTGTGTGTGTGTGTGTG